TTTTAGTAGCTTAGCAGTCCTACAATTAAATGAAACAAGCCATTTCCTTCTGGAAATACATTCAAATCAGATTTGCTTCTAATTTAGCATTTAGCTAACTGGAACTCTTAGAATCATAGAAAAGTAGGGTTGGAAGATGCCTCATGAGGTCATCTAGTGAAGCCCCCTGCTCATGTGTAGTCCCTGACTAAACCATCCCAGCCAAGTGCCCATCCAACACCCCATTTCTGGAAACTACTGTGACCAAATGCATAGTTTTGGTAGATTTAATTTAATGAGATCTGTATGCATTTCTAATTTATATAAGTTTACTGCAGTTTCATATAACTTATACACATGTACAGAATCTCACAGACTTTTTAAAAAGTGTATTTACAGTTTTCCTATAAATAACAATGAATACCCAAAAATGGAAACTTTATCTTACACTCACAATGTGCAGACACAGCCATTCTGAATCTCCCTGATAGTTCCTAGCCATTCCCTGTTGTTGTTGCAGAGCAATCCTTAATATTGGGAATTCACAAGAAGACTCTGGTGTGATTTTAAAGTAAAAGGCATAGGCAGTGCTTAATTTTATAAAGTAAACAGTTTACAAGTAGTCTGTCAGGAGGCTTTTGCTTGCACCCACTTGAAAACCTCCAGTGAAATTTCAAGGCTTTGTTTTTTGTATGTGTAAAGTAAAGAGGGAGTTAAAGACTCTTGTTCGGCTGCAGCTTCTAAGTTTACACAAATCCCTGTGCGGGCAGTCAATCCATGCTCCTGTGTCAGGAATCCAGTCCAGCTTGGGATCCTTGCTGCCCTTTTGTTGTCCTCCCCACGAGGTGATCAATTGAGGTCTATGTGGTGACAGAACCAGTTTGTAACAGGCTTGTCTTTCACATTCTCATCTTAGGCTTGCTGGCAGACTTGTCTGAGGACCTGACAGAGCCGTAGCAAAGGACTGTCGTGAAATACGGAAAGAAAAGAAACAGGAGACTAACACAGGCAAATCAGAATCACTCCTTTCCTGCTGCAATGGGTTGGCTAGAAGAACCTTACTGGCATCTTCACATTTCCTTGATCATGCTGCTATCCATGCATACCAGGGGTAAGAAGAAAAAGTATTTGGCAATGTAGTTATGGCAGGGGGGATGAGCTTAAGATAACAGCTCACTGTTCAATTATATTAATGAAAGGAAAAGCTTAGAAGGGTGGCTCAGAACTTAAGAATTTCCAAACCACAGTGCACTGTGTGAAAGTACAGTATTAACTACTGTATATACGTTAAATATTTAGGTAGCATGACTGAATTGCAAAGATGTTATCAGAAGGGTACAGTAGAAGCTTTTCATTAAAACAGGAGTCGTCTGAGGCACTTTTCAAACAGTTTGGACTAAATATGTAAATGATTCTCTTGGTACATAAAGTTGGTACAATCAGCCAACATATTTATGGATACAGTAAATGATAGCTCCAAGTGATGTTTTCTTTTTGATGTGATTATTTGAGCTTTTTATATGGTTAAAGAAAGATCACTTTAACAGCCACCTTAAATTAAAACTGTTAAAGATTATGAAATATAGATTCAGTTTTAGTTTTATGCACTTCATAGCTTTAACAGATTGTTCATTAACTTCATCCAGTTTAACAGCAAAGCTTTATTTATCAATAATTACGGATTGAAAAAATGGTATACTGATTTAGTAAGAGGATTTTGACCATACTTCACTTTAAAAAGCAGAAAGTGATGAATAGTTTTAACTATAGATAATACCACTGTGTTCTACAGTCAGAAAGCAACATTTTGACATAATTAAAAAAATACAGAGATTTATTAGCAAGAGAGAGCTCTGACTAACAACAAAAATATAGTTGCTGTGCAAGTCAGGGAGAGTGTGAAAATAGGAATCTATATAATGACTTTGAAGCGTCTTTCCAATACCACTATAATTGAAAACAAATTGAGTATGCACTAATTGAAAAGGAGTGTTTTTAATAGATGAATTTGCTTATAGTAATTTGCAAGGGGTTATTTTTTAAAGTAATGTATTTTCAGAAAAGTTTCCAAATAATTTCTGGAGACATTCTTTGTCTTTTTACTTGCTTATTTTCATCATGTAGCAATTAGTTATCGAGCTAATTTTACATCACAAAAGAAATATAAATATGCACTTCAAGGAAGGATTTTCTTTCTTCCCATAAATTAGTCGATTCCGTTTATTAAACAGTTAAACTTTCAGTGACCTCACCTAAAATCCCTCTGTACTGAACATAGGTTTTTCTGATTCTTTAGAGAATCTTACTGTTCCCTAACAGGACATGATACAGTTAAACCTAATGACCTGAAGAAACAGCAGCAGCACACTTGTTTAGTCAATTTGCTCTGGAAGTTTTAGTGTAGTAGGAGGGTAGGAATGGAAAGGGTAGGAGAAAATTAGCTTCATTGAGTCTGTACTAACTATAGCACTGTGAAGTCAAATAAAACCTTGCGTCCAAACCTCTCTGGAGTTTTCTGAATTTTAGATCCAGAACTGATCTTCCTGCTCCCCAGTTAATTATCTCCCCAAATTAGTGACCCCCTTTACCCTTTAAAGTTTAGAATCTGGTTCTTAGGTGAGATGCTTAGACCCCCAAAATTAAATTTATATTATATGAATGGTATATGTGTGTGTGCACATACATGCTTTTATATATAAAAGCTTTTGTATATATAATAGGTTTCTGTGTCTCATGTATGTGGCATAAAGGCTTCTCCCTTCTTAAGATTCTGCATAGGAATAATGTGAAAAAATCTTGCATAGTTAAGATGAATCGCTAAATCCAGTTTAAAACTCTTCAGTTTAGGACTGTTTGGACAACATGATACCTGAGCGAGGAAGCAGGCTTTTGTAGATAAATTGGAGGTGTCACACTTGATTTTCAGTGTGTGCGTTTATAGGGAGAGCTCACTACTCCTTCAGCACCCTCTGCTGCCTGCTAAGGGAGTTTAATTCTACTCAGCTTCTCATGAAGATCTCCATCAGCTCTTCTGACAGGCTCCTGAGTATTTAAAGACTCTGTTTCTAGTTCAAATTTTATTTATCCTCCTTTTCTTTTGAAAGTTTGGATGCATGGATGCAAATTCCCCTTTCTTTATCTCACATGGCTCTTTGGAAAAAGATTGTTTTTGTGTTACTCCAGAGGTTTAGGAAGTTTTCAAAACATAATTTATTGTGGGTGAAGCAAAACTGTAGACAAGTTGCTAGGCTTATGAGTTTCTATGTGTATATGAGATCCTGTTAAAAAATAGGCATAGCAACTAGTCTACAGTTTGCTTCACCATGAAGACATAGGGTCTCAATGGCATACCTGACCTTCAGGTCAGTGAGATACGAGCATCTATAAGGGTATAGATCAATTTATAGAGGAAACATGTAGGGAGTTTGTAAAAGATGTGCACATACTCTGTGTGCGTGCGTGCGTGCGTGCATGTGTGTGTGTATAGTTACCATAAGAGATCCAAGTTGCTTGTCTTGGTAATTTGTGTGTGTGTGTGTAGTTACCATAAGAGATCCAAGTTGCTTGTCTTGGTAATTTTAATTGCATTAAAATAAATAAAAATATGTCAAATAGAGAAAAATGAATCTAAAAGAAAATTAAAAACTAGATTCATACAACTTATCAACTGTGTAACTATATGTGTCTGTGCCATACTTTAGCCCCGGCTACAAATGCTCATGAATTCATATGTTTGGTTTGGAACTGTCTTTCAACATATATCATTTATGAGTCAAATCGTGCCTTGAATGATGAACAGCTACACAAAGCTTGTAATGATTGGTAATTTGTTCACCAGAAGGCTTCTTGCTGTCCTAGGATGTGTATGTTAGTTGTCACTGTTTCTCTGAGCGAGAGCAGCATGCCTCTGGATATCGTAACCAATCTTTGCTCATGCACATTGAAGTAGGTGCTTTCACCTGTCCCACATCCTCCTAAACACTACTTTAATAGTCCAGCACACCATGTCTGAATAACCCTTGGTGCATATCTTTGCATGGCAGAGGTACTGGCACATTAATGCATGCTGCATGCGTTCCATTTTCCTTGTCTGTTGTGATGCTTCTTTGTTCTTCTTTATTTCTTGTATATTGTGCAACCAGAGATTAGCCTAGGCCTTTGTTGTTGATGTTGTATGTACCTGGATTATTTTTGTAAGGTATCTAAATATGGATTTAAAAGCAAAATTTGAGGTTTTTACATGTGAAAATTTGTCCTGTTTTTAAATATTAAAACAAAGGGTAGTGCAGCAGTGCAAAGATCCAGCCTGTTGAACCACTGGATCCAGCCCATGGACAGCGGGCTTCTGCTCTAGGTGATCCTGTGCCACTGTGGAGGCAAGCAGTGGCTGGGTCCTAGCACCCAGCCTTCTCTGACCTAAGTGATTCTGGTATGTACCCAGAAAAGCCTGCCAGTCCTGGAATCTGTTGGGCTAAAATCTGTTGATTCTAGGTGAATAAAAAACAAAGTTACACCCAGGAAAGTTATGGATGCTTTAAACTATCTTAGGATCAGAGACTTTCAGGAAAAAAACAAAATTCTAGGAAGTGATGGTTATTAAAAAATAACACATATTGTGGTAGCACGGCTGTGCCCCACTGATCTAGTCAGTGTACAAGCACAGGACAAAAAGACGGTGCAGTCTATGCAAAAAGATGTTTGAAACTGTGTAGTCTGTGCCTCCAAGTGTGTAGTGTTCTTTGTTGCAACACATTTTCTAGACATTGTCCAATCTAATTAAAATGGCTTAAGAGAGTGTGTTTCCACTGATTCCCTTGAGTGATTATTCTGTAGTCAGATAGGTAATTTTTACCTGTAAACATTTATATGCACTTCTCACATGCTAATTTCAGAGGCAGTTGTGCCATGAATCAGTGAGCAGCTGAAGTTTCATCTTCTTTTAACTTAGGCCCATCATGTCATTTTGAATTGGGGAGAGGAGAATAAAGTGACATATCAAATGAAATTGCAGAACTTATTTTCTGGGATGCATACTGAATGATACTTAAAATTTTCAAGTGTTATGACAAATTTTCAGCAACAGATATTTGAGCTGACATTTAAAGTTTCAGGAGACTAATTTGTAAGGAATTCTTCACTTTTCAAAAACAGGCTTAGGAAATATATTTACTGGTTGAAAATTCAGGCATAAGACATGAGCATGGAGCTTTTCTAATTGGACAAAACTGGAGAAAACGCATACTGAGATGAATGAAGAGAAAATGATGAAAAGTCATCTTGTTGAAACCACCTCATATTTAAGAAAAAACTGCAGGCCACAATGATCCCAGCAAAGCCAAGTTCATTATAGAAATGAAAAATAGTTTAAAAAAAAAATACAGCAAAGGAGGCTGAGCTGTAAAGATACATAAATGATATAGGGTAAATCATTGCTTTGGGAAAACCACATGTATAGTTGGAGCTCCCCAGGAGTAGGCCAGGAAGCTTATTTTGACCAGATTTGAAGTTTGCTTTTCTGGTCATCCCCCTTCTACCTGCCCTCCAGCATTGCAGAGGAGAGGTTCTGCATGAGTCCTATATCTGGACTTGTATACATTGCACACCACATTGTAATAATGGCATCAAGGTTGCTCAATACACGTCCACCTCCATGATATGTTTTTTCTTTCCGTAGTCCCGCTGATGAAAGTAGCTAGTACACAGCCATAAGTGAGCCTCCATCCTTCCCTTTAGGGGCACAACGGTTATGGCATAACCTAGTCTTAAATCATTATCTGTTAACTGTGTAGGCATTTGTGTTTTCTCGGCATTTCAAGTGAATTCAATGTTTGTTAAAAGTGTTCGGATTTAATAGCCTGGGAGGCAAGCACCTTGTGGGAGAGTACATAAGTCTTTATAGATTGTGCACCCTGTTGTGTGCTTTAGCCTTCCTTGGCTTGTAGAAGGACTGCCTTCAGAGTTAATCGTTCTGTGTTGCATATGTGTTAAATGCACAGGGTCTTTGCATAGGACCAAGTTGTTAATTGCAGTTGCAATCTGGTAAATATATAAACCTGATGTAACAGAAATCTTTGATGTAATTACTTGTTATGCAGTTCACTGCCCAAGGGT